GAAAGCAGGCCTACACAGGCAAATGGACTCAACAAAAAAAAAACATATAAAATGATCCTATGTCAAAGACAAACTACTTTGAGGGAGAAACAGAAGCTGCAGGAATCCTAAGCATGCAAGATTTCAGTCTGTAGGGTTAAATTTTAAGTGCCAAAGCTACGGCTGCAACATATCTGAATAACTTATTTGATAAAGACAGGGTTTAGCTGGAGCACTTTTCCAGCACTTGGCTGATAAACAACAGGAACAGACAGATTAAAACAGGTCAAAACAAAGATACAAACAGTCAGGCCAACCAGTATTATACTCAAAGCAGCTGCTTTCAAAACTTACTGATATCTTCTCTCTCATTACTTCTGCTCCTGGATTCCATGTTTCTATTTGCATGTCCACAGACACTAACTTGCCAAGTATCTGCATCTGCATTGCTTTGATTTGCACTCCCTCTTTCTCCCATTCCTCAGTTCCAAGCCAAATATAATTAGCTCAGACAGTCAGCAGTACCAGTTTCCAAATGCATTGCCAGGTCTCAGTTCTCTCACATCTTCTCCCTTCTGTGATTACCCCAAGAGTATCCCTCTTGATCTTTTCATCAAGGCTGTATGTAAGCAGATTCTTTCTAAAGTTTCACTCTTTAAAACACAGATTCTTCCAGATTGCTTAAACCATCACCCAAGTTCACCTCACTGTGCATCTCAGTTACTGCATTGTTCTCCCTCAGCCTGGACAAATGTTATCTGCCATCTTTGGTATCCATTCAAAATGCTCCTGTGAAGCTCACTGTCTGAGCCCATCATCTGCCTGTGTCATTCTTAACTATGCACTCCAAGAAATTTCAAAGTCTAATTCATCCCCTTTCACCCTGCTCAAAGAATTTATTATTCTGTATCCAACAGCTCATTATGCTTGTCCTCTATGTCTGACTTGTTAAATGTGAGTATCTTTGTTCTTCTTTCTGTGACATACTTCTCTGTAAACATCCCTGAATGAATAGTATGAGACAATTGAAAATTTTACATTCATTGTCTGAGTCCAAGATTAGAAGCACTGAGGTTCTGAATTCAAAGTGCTGTAACAGTAAAGCTGGGTATAATTCACAGCACGGAATTTATTTAATGAATTTTCCTTAATTTTCTGTTTACAAAATGGTGAATTTGGTATTCAGAAGTACTCACGAAATAATCTTTGAAAATTATTCTTGCCATGTTGCTTAAAAACAAGCAAATTTGAAAATTGATCTGTTTTGATTTACATATAGGTCACATGATAAATTTCTGTAGCCTAGTTACAGGAGTATATCTTCGAGGCAGGCTGTGGGTACAAATACTGGTGATTACATATTTAAAATTCACTGCCTGACAATAAATTCTAAAATTATAGTTGTTGTGGTGGTGATCATCTGAAACAAAAGAAAAACATATAAACACAGGAGCTTTTTTTTATTTTAAAATGCAAATGCATTTTCAAAAGAATTGTCATTTTATTTTAAGCCTGATTATCTAAGCAAAAGTGTTCATTGCCTGAGTTTTGTCTTTCTACAATGCTCAGCTGAGTCATTTTCACCTAGCCCTACAGTATCCTTTTTAGACTGCTGTTTAAAACACAAAACAAAACAAGATTGGGGGGGGGGAGGGAGGGGAGAAAAAAAGATACATACAGCTCCAAAATAGCCACAAGGCACGCTGCCTTGCTCATGGAAGGGCTGTGGAGGGAAGCAGGAGACGGGTAGGGAAACTTAGGGGACACAGGGGAGTAGGAAGATGGAGAAAAACCCAGGACAAAAGGATCTGAAAAAGAACTGGTTATATTAAGGCAGTAACAGTGGAGAAAGGGTGTTAGAGGTGTAAGACATCCTTCCATAGAAACAGAGGTTTTGTTTATTCCTCTACTCATAGAATTACATGGGGGTCTTCACTTCTTGGAGTGTTTATTCCTTTTCTGAATGCACAAATCTTATCTTGCCTGTCTCAGCAGCCATCATGTTATTTCACTGGTAAGGACACTATTTCCATACAGTAACATCTTTCTATCTAAAGTGGCGCAAAGCTAGGTGAAACGCAGAAAGCCATGGTCTGAATGATATCATATTCATGACCTATGTATAAATATTCCTTCTTAGTGTTCTCATAGGACTCAACCAACCTTCCTTCCAAACAGGTCATAGAGTTTTACATACTTTATTTCCTATTCCCATGCAATCATAGTTTTCAATAAAGAATGTTCTGCATGCCTCAAAACAGCTAACTAAAATTAATCATCTGGGAAAACACTAAGTACATCCATGTACCCAATACAGCATGTGAAACAGGGTCACCAGATATCACTCTTGACTCTGGGTCAGAAGTTCCTCAAGTCCTGTTCTCAGAGCTGGCTCAAGGTCCAGTGCAGCACCATCAGATTAATACAAACCATGATCAAAATTCCAATCTTTTCTGACTGTATCACCGCAACAATTTTCAAATGAGGATTGGTACTTTCCATTGTTGTCCTCTCCCAACATGACCTTTGGCTTCTGAGCATTAGTAATACAAACCCCTAGCCGAGGAACACAAAACTTATTTATGATGTGATCCTTTACTTTGGTATATTGTCCTACTGGCCTCTACCTATACCATGTTCTGTTCTATTTGTGGTATGTATTGTAACTTTTCAGCCACAATTATAAGGTGGGTAATTAATATTTTTGCATGCTTTTTAAAGTGTATTAGAGGCTAAAAATGAAAGGGACAGCACTCTTGTGAAGACCTTTTCTCCATACCCTATGAAGAAATACAGAATCACAGAATGGTAGGGGTTGGAAGGGACCTCTGTGGGTCATCTAGTCCAACCCTCCTGCCGAAGCAGGGTCACCTACAGCAGGCTGCACAGGACCTTGTCCAGGCGGGTCTTGAATATCTCCAGAGACGGAGACTCGACTACCTCCCTGGGCAGCCTGTTCCAGTGCTCTGTCACCCTCAGAGGGAAGAAATCCTTCCTCATGTTCAGACGGAACTTCCTGTGCTTCAGTTTGTGCCTATTGCCCCTTGTCCTGTTGCTGGGCACCACTGAAAAGAGTCTGGCCCCATCCTCCTGACACCCACCCTTCAGATATTTGTAAATATATATTAGGTCCCCTCGCAGCCTTCTCTTCTTCAGGCTGAACAAGCCCAGCTCCCTCAGCCTTTCCTCGTGGGAGAGACGCTCCAGTCCCCTCACCATCCTTGTAGCCCTCCGCTGGACTCTCTCCAGTAGCTCCTCATCTTTCTTGAA